GCTGCCGACCTCGCCATTGTTGTTCTGCTGCCGCTGCCGCCTCCCCCACCCCCTTCCCCGGCGTCACACGGATGACCTTTCTATTCGCATCGCGACACGCTGACACCACATCTGAGTGACACGCGAAAGGAACTTCACAATCGAGAAAGAACAGCTGAGTGCGCCGCGCGGAGAGCATGCGTGCGCGGTGGCGGGCGGAGCGGAGGTGCCGAGGAGACAGCGAGAGAGCGAGAGCGCGGAGGCGACGCAGCGGTCGGCGTGATGAATCTGCTGAGATGTGATCAACATCATAATTGGAAGACGAGTCTGAACTCTGATGCACCTACTACTACACGGCACTGACGCGACCGCGCGTGCTGCGCCGCCCTCAACTCTCCCCCTGTACGTGTGCATGTGTATGTTTGTGCGGCTGGAACGTGGCAGGCTGCGGAGGGCAATACTCATCCCCCACGCGGTTCAACACAATGTCCTAGAGCCGCTGAAGACCACGCTGCTGTGCGCACCAACGATGATGACAATCCTCACCTCATATGTAACTCGGGAAAACTGAACCACCTCGCGTGGCGGATGAGCAACCGTACGGAATAATCGTTAGATAGTAAGTCTGAGCTGGTGCGTGTCTGCGTGTGCGCGTTCACGTGCGTCCGTATGCGTGCCATCCCTTGACCTAGCGAGCACGCCAGTAGCATCTCCGCAAGCTGCTCGTCTACATCAGGGGAAAGAGATGCCGTGACGCCGAGAGAGAAGAGAGCTGTAAGCGGTCAAAGCGCTCATTTTCAAGCCGCACGCGGGCTGCTACCGGTGCCCCTGCGGTCGGGTGATGCGCGAGAGTGCCGCGGCAACTGTCGTTGTCGTTCTTGACGCGGCTTGTGGGTAGCTGCTGCTCCGTGAGAATGGCCAAGCAGTGTCGCTATGCGTCTCCGCCACAACCCCCATGTGGAGCTACGGTACGAAACACGTGCGAGAGCCCGCTGGCGTGCGGCCACTATGTGTGTGTGCTGCTGTGTGGTGTGTTGTGGTGTGTGCGGAGGAGCGACGGAGAGCGCGTGCGCGTGTGATGACGTACGCTTTGGAATTGACTGCCTACTCGCGCGGCGTACCCTCGTGTGCGCCGCGCGTCGTGCGGACAACGTGCATTGGTGTGCATACCTCTACTGTTACTCAAACTACCTTCTGAGGCGCGCGCGCTGTCCGTCCACGCACACACGTACACACACTCCACCACCACCACCACGACCGCGCCATTGTTGTTCTTGCC